GGGAGGAGGGATGGAGGGGGAGGGAGGAGGAAGGAAGGAAGGAAGGAAGGAAGGAAGGAAGGAAGGAAGGAAGGAAGGAAGGGAAACACAAGCAACCAAAAGGACAGCACCAGCACTTAGTAAGCATGACTGCTGGTAGACGCTTGCTGTTAGATCACCATCACCATCACCTTCTTGGAAGGCAAAGTGTCCTTTTGTGGTCACCGTGAGTAATAATACAGGGAGAATTCAAGACCCAGTCACCAGACATCAGACTACTAATCAAACAGAAGCCAGTGAGTCATGCTGGAGTCACCTGGGAACCACCATTAGCCTAGGCAGCCGGCCCAGTGAGCATCCTGTCACCCAGTGGCCAGGCCTCCCACAACTTCAGCACACCTCCTCTGCAGGGATGCCTCCTTCCTCTGCAACCATCTTCCTTAAGGCAGCAACTGTGCTGAGGATTGGCACCGCCAGGCCAACCCGCAGGAATCGCTGGCTCTTAGAGGGAAAGACCAAGGTGACGCTCAAGAATCTGGAAAACAGGAAGGGAGCCACATCCTTAAAGGACTGACATGCATAGTCACCAACATCATGGACAATGGAGTCAGGCTCAACTCTTAATTACTGCTTCCCGGTTAGGCCCTTGCACTTTAGGTACCCTGCCACAAGGTGGCAGTGAAGAACCAAATCTCCCAAACCGCTTTTCCACAGGGTTGAAAAAAAAAGGTGTTTGATTAAAAATCACCACATAGATCTCTGATCTCAAAACTCTAATTGTTAAACAGATAACATTAAGGAGGAAAAGACCCTGCAGTTTTTAAAATAAAATAGCCAAGCTTCTTCCAGAACGAATCAACCCTATGGACGATTTTCTCCTCTTAATGAAATTTTCCCCTGCAAATCTGTTTCCACCTCCCACTATCCCTGCCAGCCCTCAAGGCCCACTTCTTGAGGAGACTGCTGTTTCTCCTGTTACTTACCATACTGTAATAATGATCCAAGTCAAGCTAGTTAATAGAGCTGTGATTTGAACCTGGGTTATTGTCATAACAACTGTGCTCTCAAGAGTCCTAGGACACAGCATACATTTTCCTATGATGGCACTGGTGGCTTTGTAATCCAGGTTAATACATAAGCCAATAGGTACACTTGTGGGATAGGCAGCACAAGATACCTGAGCAAGGGAAGGTGAGGGTGCCAGGGAAAGCTTTATGAAAAAGTTGTGTCTCCTGCTGTATCCTAAATATGCAGATGTCAACAGGAAGAGAAATGGGACTTGGGAAGGTAGGAGCACGGTGAAAAAAAATACCTCCATCTCCAAGCCTACACTGCCTCCCACTCTCAAGCTCACTGACTTTCCATGACTTTCTGGCCAGACGCATAAAGGCCAGCATGGGCTTCCTGGAAGCTGGGCTGCTGCTCGGTTCAGACAGTACAGCCCAATGCTCTCTCAACCATCCCAACTCTATTTTTCTTCTCATCTGCACCAGACAAACCTGTTCCTCTTTCTTTGATCCTTCAAAACATGTTTCCCTATAGTCAAGTGTGGTAACTCATGCCTATAATCCTGGCACTTGGGAGGCTGAGGTGAGAGGATTGCCAGCCTAGGCTACAGAATGAGGCCCTGTCTCAAAAGATAAATTAATAACAAAATGAAAAGAAAGAAATTAAGGGGGAAAATGTTGCCCATACCTTTATAAACAAAAAGGATTTTGCAGGAAGAGCAGGTGGTAATAGATGCTCTGGTCTCCCCCTGCCTGATTCAACTGGGACCTGTGCCAACCCCCGGATAGGTCAGAGACCTATGACAGGCCACAATGTGGACCCAAGCATCCTGTCCATGTTCCTTCCTTAGCCAAAAAAGAGACACAGGTCCTTTCACTTTTCACTTTGTCCATTCAATAACTCCAAGTCACCTGGCTGCAAGGCTGGTTTCTAGAGAAATGCCGAATGAGAAACAAAAGAGAAAAAAAATCGCAGATGCAGGGTGGGAAGGTTCCCACACTCAGGACACTTCACGTACCTCGTCTGGCGCAAGGGGATGGGAAGGGACACACACAGGAAAGGATCAAAGGTGTTGCTTTGTTTCAGGCAGTGGGGACACGTCAAGGAAGATCTGTGAAGAAAAAGAGCAGAGACGAAAGTACAATCACACTTAAAGAGCTTGACAGTGCCTCAAAGATCTAAATACAGAATTACTGTTGCACTTCCTTTCCAGCAATTCCACTCAGAACTGAAAACAGGTGTTCAACCAACACTTATGCGCAAATGTTACTAGCAGCCCGGTTCACAAGAGCCAAAAGGGAGAAACAACTGTCCAGAGACAAGAGATTAGTGGATAAACAAAGTGTAGTATAACCACCCACACTGTAGACTACAACTCAGCCATAAAAAAGAACAGGCTTGATACCTCGAAAATATGATGTCAAGTACTAAGAAAGACCCAGACACAGAAGTCTACCTATTATATCATTCCATTAATGTGAAATAACTAGAATGGGAAATACAAATTGGTAGTTTCCAGGGGGTAGGGGAAAGGGAAGTGGAATTTGATTGCTTACTGAGTACCAGATTTTCTTTCTGGGTGATAAGAAATGTTTAGGGACCAGAAAAAGTTGGTGGTTCTCCAGCACTGTGAGTATACATGCCACTGGATTATATATAAATTTTTTAATGAATAGTTGAGCTTGGTGTGGTGGCTCAAGCCTGTAGTCCTAGCTACTCCAGATGCTGAGGTAAGGGGAACACCTGAGCCCTCAAGTTTGAGAGTAGCCTGGTCAAAGTAAGACTTTGCCTCAAAAACTAAAATAAAACAAAACATAATTTTTTTAGAAGTGAAATGGTTTATTTTGTACTACTGGCCTTTAAGGGATGGAAAAGGAGTTTAGTCTGGTGTCTCAGTGCACTGAGAATTGGAAGATACACGAACACACCAACTCTCAAGCCCAAGGCGTTTCCAAACTTCTTAGCCTCCCTGTGCCCCCAAAATCATACAAGTAGCTTCTTAAAGATTCCGGTGTATAGGTTTTCCCCCCAAAAGATTCTACTTCAATGGAGATGAGAAGTTTTGACACTATTAAGTTTAAAAGTTTCCCAGGAGCTGGACATGGTGATTCACATCTGTAATCCCAGAATTCGAGAGGCCAAATAACAGGATAGAAAGTTCCAGGTCAGCCTAGGCTATATAGCAAGACACTGTCTCAACAAGGTGAAACAAACCACGGGACTGGAGAGATGGCTCAGCGGTTACAGAAATGGCTGCCCTTGCAGAGGACAGGAATTCAATTCCAAGCACCCACATGGTAATTGACAAGCATCCGAAACTCTAGTTTCAGGGGAATCCTTCTTCTAGCCTCCATGGGCACTGTACAAATTATATACATGCAGGTAAAACACTCATACACTAAATAAATTTCAAACACGATAATAATAACAATAACAATAGTAAAACAGACAAGTGAGGTGAACCTAGGAGGTTCCTCTGAGGCATCTGCTCACTGCTAATGGCGTTTGGGGATATAAGTCATCTGAATGGTCAGAAGTTACCGGGTCAGTAGTGACTTTAGACACAGACCCAAGTGGTCTTTTGTTCATTTGCTTGTGTTGTTGCTGCTGCTGCTGGTGATGGAACCTGGGACTTAGGGTTCTAGGCATACTGTCCACCACTGATCCATACCCCAGCTCCCAGTGTTTTATGTTGAATGTGATGTTGACTCTAGTTTACCATCTCTGGTAAATTCCCCCTGGGAGACCTAAGTCTTCCACAGCAAGTGCTGGCCACCTAAGGTGTGGTATTTGTGGGGTTCCCTCTGCTGTCCAGTTTCTCTCTGACTACTCCCATCTTGACTCACTGTGTACCAAGGTGTACAATAGGTCTAAAAGATGTATTTTTGTCATTGGGAAATTTCTTAATTCCTGCTTCACATTTATGCAAACGAATGAAAGGAAATTTGGGTTGTTGATCTCTTCATTTTTTAAGCCTAATTTAAAAACCTAGTTTAAATCAGCTGTATTTTTTCTCTTATAGGGTTGTATTGTATCAGATTGATCCATCCATTTGAACTTCATATTAAGCCCTGAATTTGTTAGGTACAAAAGATGTGTAACTTGGAAAAAAACATTATTTATTATTTTTATTTTATATGTATAAGTGTATTGCCTGCATATGTGTAAATGCACCCATGTATTGCAATGCCCCCGGAGGTCAGAAGAAGGTGTTGAATCCCCTGTAACTGGAGTTATAGGTGGTTGTTAGCTGCCATGTGGGTGCTGGGAATTGAACCCAGGTCCTCTACAAGAGCAGTCAGTGCTTTTAACTGCTGAGCCATCTCTCTAGCCCAAGAAAAAAAATTTTTTTTCAAAGAATGGGCTAATTTTAATATATATGGATGGATGGATGGATGAATGGATGTATCTTATGGTGATGGAATTGAACCTAGAGCTTTGTACATGCTAAACACGTGTTCAACTATTTAGCTACATTGTAGTCCTGATTTTGCATTTTAAAAAGTACTGTTTTAGGAGGGTCAGCTCTTCCTCATCTAGCAGTAATCAGTTGTCTATATTCCTTTGGATAAGATTGGGGTCTGCTGTTCATTTTCCCAGTTCTATGCTGGGTTGCTATCTGGGAATCACTTTGGCACGCTGGCCAACAACTCAAAAGAAGGTATCGTCTGTCTGGCATTGTTGCTTGTTATGTAACCTTTTACTATACATATGGACTCATGAAATTATATTGGCCCCTTTAATCTTTGGTTATACTATCCTTTTGGGTGTTTAAGGCCATACAGTTGGTCCA